GATTTACAATTAGCATAAATAGTAGGATTGAGAAGAAATTCATATTTCAAAGGTGTTGGGATTAGTATTCATTTTATAAAACTTGAAGTCATTCTTTCTTATTAGAATTTACTCACTCATTCATGGTTTCAATCCACATATATTCATTCAAATTGATTCTTCAAACTTGAAACTCTAAGAACCTTAAATCAACACTCGATTCTGAATGTATTAATTTAATGTTCTTGCATTAAGTTCATGGATTTGTTGATTGATGAATTTGAAGCTATTCCTAGACATCAAATAATAATCAAGTGCTTAGATTCACTTCAGACCACAAATATGTTTTCCAACTATATTTAAAATCAAAATCATACAAAAGAAACATTAAGCATAGAATCATGCACCACTATGAATAACTGAACTTCATATATATAAACCCGGAAGAGTTTACGTCAAGATTGACAAATGAACTCAATCCCAACTATGAGAGTTTAGCCATGCGTAGTCAAAGAAAATTCATATATACAACCCATAGATTAGAAGAAGAGAAGAAAAATTGATGAACCTCATTCCTAAGCAATCTTGTTCTTCAAATCTCCTTCATGCCTTTTTTTTTTTCTATTTTCCTCAACTTTCTCCTTCTCTGTTCTCCCTTTGTATTGTTCTTAAAAGGTATTTATATGATCTTCAAAAAAAAAGGAAAAATTGAACTTTTTTCTTCCACCACTACGACATTAGAGAGTACTTCAAATTGAAATAAGCTCCATAACTTGAGCACTAATTCATCGCTGCTGTGGTGGAATTCCCTATTTCCCAATCAACTCCAGACTTCCACAACTTGAGCACTAGTTAGGCGCCATGGCGCCAAGAATTTGTTGAACCTTTGTTGCTTCACCATTGCAACACTAGTTTGGGGCCATGGCACCAAGAATTTGTTGAAGCTTCATAAATTCACAATTGCGACGATGGCTTAAGGCTTAAGAGAAAAATTGATATTATCATTCTAGATTCTCTTATCCTGATGTTCTTTCTTAAATTATCAACAAAAGAGAGAAAATAATATATATATATATATATATATATATATATAGACACACACACACAATTAACAAAGAGAGTTCCTAATAAGGATAATATTCATTAAATTTTGGCACTTACCAAGCATATACAGAGGAATTGTTTTATATGGAAGAAGGAGAATAAAGACAAGAAGGGTAAGCAAAGAGAGAGATATCATGATGATAGTGATTGTGTTACTACTATTTCTAGTGATGATATTGTTCTTCTCAATAATCTTGATGCAATTAATCTTGTATCTAATAAGAGCATGTAGATAATAGATAATGGTGCCACTCTACATGTTACAGCTAAGAAGGAGTTCTTCACATCTTATACTCTTGGTAATTTGGAGTATTGAAGATGGGTAATGATGGCGTGTTCAAGGTGATTGGTGTTGGTGACGTTTTCTTGCAAACTAACATGGGGATGCAATTGTTGCTTAAAGGAGTTAAGCATGCTCTAGATGTTTGTTTTAAGTTGATGACATGCTTATTGTTGGGAAAAATGTTTCTAAAATTGACAGGTTGAAGAGGCAATTGAGCAAGTCATTTTCCATGAAGGACATGAGAGCTACTAAAAAGATTCTTGGCATAAGAATCATGTGTGACAGAAAGGAGAAGAAGTTTTGGCTCTCATAGGAACACTATATTAAAATAATGTTGCTGAGATTCTAGATGGAAAGGCTAAGGTGGTGAGCACTCCTTTTGCTACTCATTTTAAGTTGAGTTGTAAACAGAGTCCATTAAATGAAGTTGAAAAATTAGACATGCAATGGGTTCCTTATGCATCTGTAGTGGGTAGTTTGTTGTATGTAATGGTGTGCACAAAACCAGATATAGCACATGTTATTGGTACTATTAGTAGATTTCTGTCAAATCTAAGTAGAAAGTATTGGAATGTTGTGAAATGGATTTTGAGGTATCTTCATGGTATTGCAAATATGAGGCTTTGTTTTGGTGGTGATAAGCCTACTTTGGTGGGGTACTCAGGCTTTGATATGGTAGGAGACATTGATTCCAAGAAGTCCACTTTGAACTATTTGATTAAATTTGTTAGGGAGTTGTGTCTTAAAAGTCTAGACTACAGAGGTGTGTAGCTTTGTCTATTATAGAGGCAGAATTCATTATCATTACTAAAGCATGCAAGTAGTTACTATAGGTGAAGAAATTCTCGTAGGAGCTTGGTTATATTCAAGATAAATATCTACTATTTGTGGATAATCATAGTGTTATTCATCTTGGTAAGAATTCAACTTTTCATTCAAGGTCTAAACATATTGATGTGAGGTATCATTGGATACGTGATGTTTTGCATACTAAGTTGTTGGAGTTGGCCAAAATTCACACGATGATAATGGTAGTGATATGATGACTAAGACATTACCAAGAGGAAAGTTTGAAGTTTGTTGTGAGATCGTTGGTTTGGTGGTCATCTCCACATAGTTGTGAGGGGGGATTTGATGGGTTTTGGACTCCCTTCCCATGTGAAAAATAGGCCAAAATTGTGTAACCCATCATGTCTCACTTAACCAAGTGAAAATGGGTCAAATTAGGATAGAGTAACTCAGTTTGAGAAAACAACAACAAAATATAAAAAGAAGAGTAGAAAAAAAGTTATAGGTCGCATTTTCACCGGATAACATTTGTTGAATTGCAATTGGAGATTCGTTTACCATTGAATTAGGCTGATTTTTGGACAGCAAGTTCATATGACGCAGTATTTTATATTCAACAGTTGGATCATCAAAAAAAAGTCTGGAGTGAAAGAAAATTTCTCATAATAACAACTTTGTTTTGAGACTTTTTATTTTCTTATTTGTCAATTGTAAGCAATTGTGCTCAGTTTTGCTAACTGATTGTAAACATTATTTGGTACATTCTTTAGAGACTCTCTTGTAACCTTTGTTGATCATAGTAAAGTTTTTCTTTAGTTTGGATGACTTGTGGTTTTTACCCTTGCATTGAGAGACTTTCTACATTAAAAATATTTGTATCTCTTGTGTATTTAAATTATTTTTTTCTCTATTCTGGTGTTTTTTTTTGCAGATTCTTGCAAGTAAGAAGATTTAATTTTTGCTACGTTATTCCTCTTTATCAATTAGTTGTTATTGTTGTGTTGCACTCTCCTCCATCGCTAGTTTGATTTCAGTTTTTTTTACTTCTTAATTTTTATAAATAATTACAAAATATAATATCTTCTTTTTTTAATTTGTTGCTTGTTCTTAAATATTTATATACAAAATGTTGAGTACATTTTTATTTTCACCATTACTTATATGAATTTTTTAAAATAAACTAAAATATATTTTTTTCTTAAAACAAAAAACAAAACCAAAAATTGTTTTATTAGACCAAGTACCCCTTAATACTCGAGAACTCTATTAATATCGTATTTAAAGAAGATATTAAAAATTTAAACTCTAACAAGATACCTTTTAACACACTATTTTTAATTTTTATTAGTTAAAATTTATTAAGAAAACATTTTTGTAGATTTGACTGTAATGATTCTCTCGAAGTTACTCTCACCCCTCCATATACTTTTTTCTATTATTTAAATTCCTTTTCTCTTGTTATTTAATTAAAATATGATATTTTACTAGAGAAAAAAGCCACTGAAGGTTGTAAACAATTTACAAGCACTTTTCGTCCTACAAACAATTTGTCAAAACTGATTTGATAGATATATACGCGTGTATTAGATAGAGTTGGACATGTTTTCGTCATAAATAAAATTCAATAGTGACTTGTAAACGGGCTTCTATGTTCTTTCGCATTGGAAGACCTCTGAAAGTCAAGCTCCGCGTGAGACTAACATCCTTCTCCTAATAACGTGTTCAATAGGAGAATTTATTTATTATATAAGTGTCTTTATTTATTTTTTATAATAAAAAATAATAATTTTGAAAACAATTGTATAAATGTATACTTATTTAATGAAAAATTTTATTTGTAAAGGAAATGTAATATATAATTTGCTTAATAGAAGTTTTTATTCAAAAGATAAAATGATCCATTAAAAACAGAGATTAAAAGTAATTGAGGGGGAACATATCTCCTTTATCTCTATTGTTATAGATAGTTAAAAACTTTATTATCTCTTTTTCATTAAAAAAATTGATTAAATTGCACTTTTAATCCCTTAATAATATTAAATCCATAATTTTGTTTCATTAATTTTTAATTATGTAATTTTATAAAATTATCAATTTTGGTCCATTTTTTAAATGTTCATCTAATTGATTGTTAAAATTCTAACATTTTGTTGTAACTTAACATTATATAGATGATACACTGATTAATATTTATTTTATTTAAATTAAACTGTAATTTTAATTCTCATTTTCATCTCATTTTACCATTTTTTTTTAAATAAAAATGAGAATTAATTTTTTTTGAATATTATTAAATGTTAATTGGCATGTTTTATTTTTTATTTAATATCAAATCATAACTTATATTACAATTTTAATGATCTAATGGGTAAAAATTCAAAGAAAGGACCAGCTTTTATAAAATTTAAAGACTAAAACGGGATTTAAAGATAAAAAAATCAAAATTGCATATTTGATATTAAAGAGAGAGTAAAAGTAGAATTAGACCTATATAAAAAACTGAGTTGCATGTCCCGTAAAAATTGACTTGGAGTTGGATACATGATAATTTTGGACCATTCAATAATTTGTTATCTCAGCGCACTAGAAAGTCGTAACTCAGAAATTGTGGTTTTATTTCCTTATTGTAATGCTGGTTGACCCAACGAAGCTCTTCTTTGGACTTTATTCATAAAACTCATAATTTGTTTTAACATATACTTAATGTTGTTTCAGGAAACAACCTATGCAAAGATCACAATGACGAGAAGTTAATTTTGCTTTTCACGTTGGCATGCATATTGGCAGACAGGCACATCCACACAAGAAGTGTACATAGTTACTACAACCTTAAAAGTTAGTGACTATGGTTGTTGTCAGTAGCAAAAGCAGCACAAAACTTGTACAATCATCATGTTCGTGTCCACCTAGAATGGTTAAAGTTTCAGCTGAGGCTGCTTCTTCTTCTTCTTCTTCTTTTTCTTCCGCTAAAAAACATGATGTTTTCATCAGCTTTAGAGGTGAGGACACGCGCAAGAGTTTCACAAGCCATCTTTATGCTGCTTTTCAGCACAACAAAATCCAAACCTTCATAGATTACAAGCTTCCCAAAGGGGGTGAGATCTCTCCCATAATTCTCAAAGCCATTGAACACTCCAACCTATCTGTGGTTGTTCTCTCCAAGCACTATGCTTCCTCCACTTGGTGCTTGCGTGAACTCGCCAAAATAATCGAACACAAGAAACGTGGTGGACACATTGTGATACCTGTGTTCTTCAAGGTTGATCCTTCCCATGTAAGGAAGCAGACTGGTACTTATGGAAAAGCCTTTGAAAAATATGAGAGAGATGGCAAACACAGCATGGCCATGTTGCAGAAATGGAAAGCTGCTCTCACAGAAGTTGCCAATTTAGTTGGGTGGAACATGCGGAATTACAGGTAACAAATCATTTTTTGTTTTGGGAATCTCCCTCCTGTTTTCTTACTTGAAAATATGAGTTATTGGGATTCATATCAGAGTTCAATTAACATCAAGTGAAGTTGTGTTGCATACTTTCACTTCTGAGTTGTGATATTAGACTTTTTTGGATAAACTGATTTAGAAATACTTTTAAGGAGGAAAAAAAGAACAGGAAGAAGAGATGAAATAAGTTTAACCATAAGCTTATATATTATATATATTGTTAGGATCCCTCCTTAATTGGAGAGGTTCTAGAAAATTCTAGAGCTTTCTAGAGAAGTATAGAATTTTCTAGAACATTCTAGAGAATCCTAGAGAATTGTAGAATTCTCTAGAAGCTTGTGGAATAGTGTGGAACCCTTTGGAACATTCTAGAGATGTGTGGAGCTTTCCGGAACCTTATGGAAGAGTATAGAAGGATATAGAAGGGAGTAGAGATTCCTGGAATGTGTGGAGCATTCTAGAGAACCAATCTCAACCCTTGATCCCCACCATTCATTTTGAAGGTGGAGTAGTATAAATAGGGGTAGGAGGCTTCATTCCTATCAATCCAAGCCAAGAGTGAATCCACTTCTTAAAGTGAGAAAGTGAGAAAGCCTCTTTGTGAGAGAAGAGAGATAGTCTCAAGTTTGAGTGTGCCACCATAGAGTGAGTCAATTTTGTAATTACATTCTTGTAATCCTACTATTCTTTTGTATAGTGGAAGAATCTCCATATTGGAGAATTTAACTCGTGTGCTCCCATTACTACCTTTAATTTCTAAGTGCCTATCTTAACTTCACGAAGCGGGAAAGTCCGAGTTTTCCCAACAGTGGTATCAAATGATAATGAATTCTGCCTCTATAATAGACAAAGCTACACACCTCTGTAGTCTAGACTTTTAAGACACAACTCCCTAACAAATTTAATCAAATAGTTCAAAGTGGACTTCTTGGAATCAATGTCTCCTACCATATCAAAGCCTGAGTACCCCACCAAAGTAGGCTTATCACCACCAAAACAAAGCCTCATATTTGCAATACCATGAAGATACCTCAAAATCCATTTCACAACATTCCAATACTTTCTACTTAGATTTGACAGAAATCTACTAATAGTACCAATAACATGTGCTATATCTGGTTTTGTGCACACCATTACATACAACAAACTACCCACTACAGATGCATAAGGAACCCATTGCATGTCTAATTTTTCAACTTCATTTAATGGACTCTGTTTACAACTCAACTTAAAATGAGTAGCAAAAGGAGTGCTCACCACCTTAGCCTTTCCATCTAGAATCTCAGCAACATTATTTTAATATAGTGTTCCTATGAGAGCCAAAACTTCTTCTCCTTTCTGTCACACATGATTCTTATGCCAAGAATCTTTTTAGTAGCTCTCATGTCCTTCATGGAAAATGACTTGCTCAATTGCCTCTTCAACCTGTCAATTTTAGAAACATTTTTCCCAACAATAAGCATGTCATCAACTTAAAACAAACATCTAGAGCATGCTTAACTCCTTTAAGCAACAATTGCATCCCCATGTTAGTTTGCAAGAAAACGTCACCAACACCAATCACCTTGAACACGCCATCATTACCCATCTTCAATACTCCAAATTACCAAGAGTATAAGATGTGAAGAACTCCTTCTTAGCTGTAACATGTAGAGTGGCACCATTATCTATTATCTACATGCTCTTATTAGATACAAGATTAATTGCATCAAGATTATTGAGAAGAACAATATCATCACTAGAAATAGTAGTAACACAATCACTATCATCATGATATCTCTCTCTTTGCTTACCCTTCTTGTCTTTATTCTCCTTCTTCCATATAAAACAATTCCTCTGTATATGCTTGGTAAGTGCCAAAATTTAATGAATATTATCCTTATTAGGAACTCTCTTTGTTAATTGTGTGTGTGTGTCTATATATATATATATATATATATATATATATTATTTTCTCTCTTTTGTTGATAATTTAAGAAAGAACATCAGGATAAGAGAATCTAGAATGATAATATCAATTTTTCTCTTAAGCCTTAAGCCATCGTCGCAATTGTGAATTTATGAAGCTTCAACAAATTCTTGGTGCCATGGCCCCAAACTAGTGTTGCAATGGTGAAGCAACAAAGGTTCAACAAATTCTTGGCGCCATGGCGCCTAACTAGTGCTCAAGTTGTGGAAGTCTGGAGTTGATTGGGAAATAGGGAATTCCACCACAGCAGCGATGAATTAGTGCTCAAGTTATGGAGCTTATTTCAATTTGAAGTACTCTCTAATGTCGTAGTGGTGGAAGAAAAAAGTTCAATTTTTCCTTTTTTTTTGAAGATCATATAAATACCTTTTAAGAACAACCTTAAATCAACACTCGATTCTGAATGTATTAATTTAATGTTCTTGCATTAAGTTCATGGATTTGTTGATTGATGAATTTGAAGCTATTCCTAGACATCAAATAATAATCAAGTGCTTAGATTCACTTCAGACCACAAATATGTTTTCCAACTATATTTAAAATCAAAATCATACAAAAGAAACATTAAGCATAGAATCATGCACCACTATGAATAACTAGCTCTTGCAATACTGGTTACAGCACGGAAGCTGAGACATTATTTCCAGAGTTATGAGGTGATAGTCTGAACAAATCATCCGATTAGACAAGTACTACAGAAGCCTGACCTGGCAGGAAGGATGATGAAGTGGTCTGTAGAGCTATCAGAGTATTCCATCAAGTATGAGCCGAGAGGAGCAATCAAAGCTCAAACGCTAGCTGACTTCGTGATGGAACTAACCTCACCGGCCGAGGAAGGAAATATTGAAGAGACACAGTGGATCCTATCGGTGAATGGAGCCTCGAACCTTGGAGGAAGTGGAGCGGGGATCGTCTTGGAAGGACCGGGAGGAATTCTGCTGGAACAATCATTACGATTTGAGTTCCGAGCCAGCAATAACCAGGCCGAGTACGAAGCGTTGTTGGCCGGTATGACATTGGCGAAGGAAATGGGGGCGACGAGTTTATCAGCACGAAGTGACTCCCAGCTGATCACGGGGCAGGTAGCCGGCACCTTGCAGGCGAAGGACCCTCAACTGGCTAAGTACCTGGAAAAGGTTAAGCTCTTATCGGAAAATTTCCGAGAGTTCACACTTAACCATGTACCACGAGAGCAAAATTCGAGGGCCGACTTGCTCTCTAAGCTTGCAAGCATGAAGAAGCCAGGAGCTACTCGGTCAGTTATCCAAGAGATGCTAGCACAACCAAGTATAAACAAGGCGCAAGGGAACGTCCTATTCATCCAAGAAGAGCTTAATTCGTGGATGGGACCGTACATCGCATATATAACTCGGGGGGAATTACCGGAAGACAAAAGGGAGGCATCGTTGGTGCAAAGGGAGTCGGCCAGGTTCGTAGTCATCAACGAAAGACTGTATCGAAGGGGCTTTATCTCCCCTCTCTTAAGGTGTATGACCATGTCGCAAGCACAGAGAGTGATGGATGAGATACATAGTGGAATGTGCGGAAGTCACATCGGAGGCCGAGCTCTGGTGTATAAAGTTACCCGAGCAGGTTTCTTTTGGCCATCCTTGAGGAACGACTGCGTCAATTGGGTCCATTGATGAACCTCATTCCTAAGCAATCTTGTTCTTCAAATCTCCTTCATGCCTTTTTTTTTTTCTATTTTCCTCAACTTTCTCCTTCTCTGTTCTCCCTTTGTATTGTTCTTAAAAGGTATTTATATGATCTTCAAAAAAAAAGGAAAAATTGAACTTTTTTCTTCCACCACTACGACATTAGAGAGTACTTCAAATTGAAATAAGCTCCATAACTTGAGCACTAATTCATCGCTGCTGTGGTGGAATTCCCTATTTCCCAATCAACTCCAGACTTCCACAACTTGAGCACTAGTTAGGCGCCATGGCGCCAAGAATTTGTTGAACCTTTGTTGCTTCACCATTGCAACACTAGTTTGGGGCCATGGCACCAAGAATTTGTTGAAGCTTCATAAATTCACAATTGCGACGATGGCTTAAGGCTTAAGAGAAAAATTGATATTATCATTCTAGATTCTCTTATCCTGATGTTCTTTCTTAAATTATCAACAAAAGAGAGAAAATAATATATATATATATATATATATATATATATAGACACACACACACAATTAACAAAGAGAGTTCCTAATAAGGATAATATTCATTAAATTTTGGCACTTACCAAGCATATACAGAGGAATTGTTTTATATGGAAGAAGGAGAATAAAGACAAGAAGGGTAAGCAAAGAGAGAGATATCATGATGATAGTGATTGTGTTACTACTATTTCTAGTGATGATATTGTTCTTCTCAATAATCTTGATGCAATTAATCTTGTATCTA